CCCCCCCCCCCCCCCCGGGCCGGGCGGCCGGAGGGAGGGAGGGAGGGAAGGGGGCCGGTGCTCAGGTGGCCCTTCGCTGCAGGCCAGATCTACTGGGCCAAGGACATCATCTTCCTGGCGAACGAGCACGACCTGATTGGGATGGAGGCCTGGCTGGAGGCTTATCATGACGTCAACGTGACAGGTGGGGGCAGCTTTGGTTCCCCCCTTGCCACCCTGGCTCAGCTCCTGGCCCCTGGCCCTGTCCTTTCGGAGCAACTCCTCCGGCAAGCGGGGCCGGGAGCACCCGTGAATCTTGCTTTCAGCGGAGCCTGCCTCCTTTGCAACGCAGAGCTGGGGTGCTCTCGGGTGCTCTGCAATCTGGCCACTGGGGATTACTGCTGCCCAGTGCCCTCTTTAGAGGAGGCGCCCACGCGGCCGCTGCGTCTCCTGTAGGGACCCAGTCGTCAGGGACGTTCGGCCGAGCGGGAGCCATCCAGGCCGCGCTGTCTCTGGAGCTGAGCAGCGACGTCATCACCAGCTTCGATGTGGCCGTGGAGGGACTGAACGGGCAGCTGCCCAACCTGGACCTGGTCAACCTCTTTTACTCCTTCTGCCAGAAGAACGGAGTGCTGTGTACCATCCAAGGCAAGGTGTGCGGAAGGGCAGGGGGGGCCGTTGTGTCCTGGGGCTGTCTGGAGGCCGCCTGGATGCCCGCAGTTCAGCTGCAGTGCTAGAGTGCCTCTAACTGCCCCCCTCAACCCCATCCAGAGGGGAGAGCTTCTTGGTCACCAACCGGGGCTGGGTTTGGCCCCAGTTGAGCAAGCGTTGTTGTGCAGTCAGGCTGCTGGCAGAGTCTCTCTGTGGTCTCATGGGGTGGCCTGGTTTGCGCTCTCGCCCCAAGAGTCCTTGCCTGAACACTGGGCACAGCCGGGGACCGGCACCCCGTGCCCACCCTGCTGACGGGCCTGCTCCGTCCCTCTCTGCCCACAGCTGCAGCGCTCGGACTGGGACTCCCTGCCGGCCTACCTGCACTCCCTGCAAACGCTGCTGCTGATGGTGCTCAAGCAGGGCTCGGGCCACCCGCAAGGCGACCACGGTCTCTTTCTCCGCTACCACATTGAGGCCATCACAATTCGTGGCATCAACAGCTTTCGCCAGTACAAGTTTGACATGGGCGTGATGGGCGTGTGAGTGCAGGAGCGGGCGGTGGGAAGGGGCAGCACTCGGGGGTGGGAGCTGAGTGCTGAAGACGAGGCCGTGGGCAGCTCGGGCCCCTCCAGGACGGGAGCCACAAGCCCTCTTTCGGGTCATCGTTCTCCAGGACCCTCGAGGGCATCTTCCGGAAGCTGAACAACCTGCTGGAGCGGCTGCACCAGTCGTACTTCTTCTACCTGTTGCCGTCGCTCTCCCGCTTCGTCTCGATTGGGCTCTACATGCCGGCCTTTGGCTTCCTCATCCTCGTCCTGGTTCTCAAGATATCCTACCCCAGCGGAGGCAGGGGGCCGGGGCGGCT